GGACCTCGTACCACCCAAAGTTTATCTGTTAGAGATTGACAAAGATGTGATAAAAAATACCTAACCTCAACTAAATCTTCACCAACACTTTACAGCTTATCATCACCCATGCACCTACTTTAGCTGTTTCTTTGTTTTCTCCTCTCAATAATAAAATAATAATAATATTTCGTTGATGTGTAAGTTGCTTAGAGAAACAAAAGAGATTTCCTGAGATGATTTCCTCATCGTATCATTACAGCTTTGAGGACAATGATGTTTTTTTCTCCAAGCATAAGTCATGATCGTGACTATGATATTAAGCTCTTACTTTGTAATAACACCATCCATTGGCTTTCAGCCAAATTTCAATATTTTCAGCTTTTTTTGTCTTTGTTTAAATACTATTTGGAAGAGAAAATGTGTTGAAATATTTTGCATAATTAACGTGATTACGTAATCATTAATAATAAGAATTATCAATTGATATTCAATTCAAAGACGGTTAATTTTCCACTAAAATTAAAAGTTTGTGTGAATATAAATTAAGAAGAAAGCAGAAGAAAAAAAAAATCAAAATCGACCAAGTTTTATATTTCTTAAATAAATTTATTTTTTCGAGCCCAGTACTTTATAGGTGGGCTGAGGCCATTATGTCCAAAAAGAGGGCTTTGTTTGGGCTGACCATGGCCTAGGTTGCCTGCCGTTTAGATGGTAGAGCGGATCCTAAAACGTAGGCCCATGGTCTTAGAACGCCAAGGAATGGACAAAAGATCTACACTGAATGATGACAAATGACCAAAGGATAAACAAACATTTTTCCGGTCAGGTCCCTGTTAAAATTAATCACAATATCCGGTGAGGAAAAATGGAAGAGTGTTGTTGCCTGTTAAAAATGAGGAAGAAAGTTTTTTTTTTAATAATAAAATATATTTTATTATATTAAAAAATATTTTTATAATTTTATTACATAAATTTTACAGATTAATTTTAATAAAAAGTACAAATTTAGTATTCATTAACTAATTAACCAAATACCGAAATGTTTGAATTTAATGACATATATTTAAACTTAAATATTGTAAATATGATATCCATTCAAGTTGAAATCTCTTGGCTTATCTTGTATTCAGCTGCAAGTTTGAGAAATACAAAATGTCTAGACAGGTGGCATTAGGTAACCAACATTTTTTCTTCCCTAATTCATAATGGAACAATGTGATTCACATAAACAAAAAGCCTACTTCACATCACAAAGCGTGAAGTTCACGTCAAGAGAAAAAAAGAACTAAAGCCTCACCTTTTCCAATCCATGGCCAAGAATTTGCCACGGCCCTTCCCTCTTGTGTGAACCCAAAACTCCGCAAGAATTTGGCATCCAATCGTGGTTTTCAATCGATCCATCCAGGGTCCAGACAGATACCACGGTGTTTGTCTTCTTCTTCCCCCCGTGGTCTCAGCCATTACACGTGTCATCCTCCCACACTTCCACCTAGTACGGGGGGAAATCGCACGTAGGCAGTAAGGCTTCCGTTTAATTATCCGGAAACCCCAAAGTTTCATTTTTGGTGCAAGTTAGCGAGTGGCGTAGATTCGTGTTGTGTCTTTGCTAAAGTAAGCCCCTGTCTTTCTCGGGTTTTGCCTTTTTCCCTCCATTCCAATCCATTGCTCCATCTTCAAGTCACGGCCCCGTTCGAGCTAGGAACACCGCATCTTTTCCCGTCGATGTTCATCAAAGATGAGCTTTCTGTTAAGGAAGGGGATTAAAGGGTTGGTTTTTGTTCAAGCCAATTAAGATTTGGGAATGTGCTGCTCTAGAGCTAAAACATGGGCTTCTCCGCTGCTCTTCGCCCCAGTCTTTCAGTTACCTCTTCTCTTCATTGTAGCAAGGTGCTTTCTCAATCTCTCAACCACCTCTCTGTTTTTGGGTTATTTATATTTTGATTTATATCTGCCCAGATAATTTGTTTTGTAATTTTTTGTTCTCCAGAATAAAGAATAATAATAAATGATGGAGAACCTTGGGGTTGTTGCTTTTCTATTTTCTTATCAATTTTCAGTTTTAATCTTTTTCTTTAATTATCACAAGAAAAAGAACTATTAATAATAAGTCTATTATTTCACATATTCTAGAATTTAAAGCTAATATTTATGTTTATTTATAGCTTGGAGTCTTGGATCCAGTGATTTCCATCTTTGCCAAGCTTAATCAATGTTTCTTTGGGCTAGACTATACTGGTAAAATCAGTAAATTGACCAAGGAAATGATGGCAAAAATTGTTGTAGATTTCATTGGAAGAAAAATGGGGTTTTAGATATGTTTACTGTTTCCCAAGTGAATGAGTAATTATTTATAGTTTGAGCTATGTTTATGCAGTTATCCTCGCGGCCAACGTGTGATTGGAAACAGAAGAGGCTACCTCTTTTGGCAGTGACAAAAGGAAGAGGCTATTCTCTCTTTATTGTCAAATCTATCTTAAATAACAGCAAGTCAAGCGTTAATGACAATGGGGCAACTGAACCTGCGAGAATTCTTCTTGAGAGATTGTTTGCACAGTCCCAGAAACTTGAACAGGGAATGAGTAGAGATGGTCAATCGCCTAAGGATTTTCACCTGTTTCTCAACCTTGAGACTCTGGAGTCTGATCTGCAGGCTGCTTTGACAGCCTTAAAGCGAAAGGAAGATGATCTACAGGATGCGGAAAGAATGGTTGTATTGGAACAATGTCAATTAACCCGTGCAAAGGACGAGTTGGAGCAACGGGAGAAAGAAATTGCTGCTGCATCTTCTAAGCGTGAAAAGCTGGAAGAGGAGCTAAAGCAGGCAAATCTTGCATTTGCTTCTCAAGCCGGTCAGATAGAAGATTTGAAGCTTCAGCTTAAAGAACGAGACAAGGAGATTGCTGCTGCACAATCGGCACTGTCTGTGAAAGAAGATGAAATGGATAGAATGAGGAATGAAATGGTGAAGAAGAGCGAGGAAGCTGCCAAGATTGAATCTGAACTTAAATCCAAGTCTCAGCTCCTGAATGAAGCCAATGAGGTTTTGAAGAAACAAAAAATTGAGCTCCAAGAACTCAAAGAAGCAATTCGAGAGAAAGATAAGCAGTTAGAAACTTCTATGACTCTTAGGAAACATGAAGAGGAGAAGCTGAAAGCTGCTGAGGCTAAATTGCAGCAGCAGACAATGGAGTGGCTATTAGCGCAAGAAGAATTGAAGAAACTGGCAGAAGAAGTATCTAGACACACAGGAGAAGCTAATGAAACCTTTGAAGATTTCAGAAGAGTGAAGCAGCTACTTTCTGATGTAAGGTCTGAGTTGGTTTCTTCTCAGAAATCTCTGGCATCCTCCAGGCAGCAAATGGAACAACAAGAACGGTTATTGGAAAAGCAACTCGAAGAGCTTGAAGAACAGAAGAGAAGTGTTGTATCATACATGGAAAGTTTGAAAAATGCCCAGATAGAAGTTGAGAGTGAGAGAGTGAAGCTTAGGGTTGTGGATGCTCGAAACAAGGAGCTTGAACGGGATTTATCTGTGGAGAGGGAGCTAATAGAAGAGTTGCAGGAGGAGTTGAAGAAAGAGAAATCTTCACTGCAGCAGGCTATCTGGGATGTCTCTTTTCTTCGACAGAATTTAGAGCAGAAAAATGCTGAGTTTGGTGAAATGAGCAATGTTCTGCAAAGTAAAGAAGCAGAGTTGGTGGAGGCTAAGCTCGAAATCCAGCATCTGAAATCTGAACAGGCTTCACTTCAGCTTATCTTGGAGGAGAAAGATCTGGAACTCTCCAATGCCAGGGAGAATTTAGAGCAAGTAAATCAGGAGATTGTAGAGCTGAAGATGCTTATGAGCTGTAGAGAAAATCAGCTCATTCAAGCGACTGCTTTTTTAAAGGAGAAGGATGAACATGTTCAGAAAGTACAAGATGAGTTGAATGACACAAAGATAAAATTCTCGGAAGCTGAAACTGTGATAGTGCGAATTGCAGAACTCACGAACAGACTAGTTAGCTCTGCTAAAGATGAAGATAATAATGTGTTGAGGCCTGTTAATGATGTGAGCCATGAATTAATGCATCAGCTGGTAGATAGACCTTCTAATGATTTCAGATTGCAGAAAAAACAGCTTGAAACAGAACTCAAATCCACCAAAGAGAGCTTAAAAGTTAAAGAAATGGAAGTTCTTGCTGCACAGAGGGCTGTCACAATAAAAGATGAGGAGCTCAAAATGGTTCTTGGGAGGCTGGAGGCAAGGGAAAAAGAAGTACAAAGGCTGAAGGAAGAAATGGTTGAAGATGCTAATGATCTAAAGAAGCTTTATGCTTTGGCACAAGAGAGAATTGGGGAGAGAAGTATTGGTGATTTGGCTATTGAGAAGCTTCAACTTGAGGCAGCTCAACTGGAAATTGAAGCTGCCACTAGCGCTCTTCAAAAACTAGCTGAAATGAGCCGTGAACTCTTGAATAAAGCTAGTATGAGCGTTCAGGCTGATTCTGATACCAGTATCTTCGTGCAGCGTAGTTCTGATCCTATGCTTAGCATGATTGAGAACAATGAATGTTTCACTGAGGTTAAAAGAGAAGTAGCCAGGCTTTCAGCTTTGACAGAGCAGCTGGTGAAAGATGCCGGAATTGTTTGTGCACAACTGCAAAGTTGAAGCTCCTGACTGGATTTTGTATGTAGATATTGACCTGTCTTTGCTTTCGGTGGGAGGAAGAAAAAAGTGGCCTGTTCAACTCAAGTAAAATTTTCGGTTGTGGGCTGGTTGTCTACTTGTACTATTTGATCATATTCCCATCCATCGTGCAGATGTGAAGCCTATATATTCTTTATTTTATGCTGAGTGAAACTACAATAATGTTGCTTTATGAGGTATCTTCTGAGCAATGGTTTCTAAACTATTCATCATTGCCCAAAAGCCCATAACATCAGCATCTCTCTCAGAGAGCAGTTCTTTTGCAAACACACCATATTTACGCTCTCTTTATTATCAGAGCACGATGAAGATGCAGCTGTTCAAAGTATAACACTTAAATTCTAACACCTTGACATTTCTATTTTTTCCTTTTGAGTTGGACATCCAACAAGATACCAGCAACAAATCAACTAAAGGTCGATCAATATTCTGATAGCCAAAATCCAAAAAAGTTGGATCAGCTGGTTATGTGTATAAGCAAAGAGACTGCACTAGTATATATACAACTAAGCATATAAGATAAGATGCTCACAATAAGATGTAATTAACCATTTACCGCAGAAACTGTTTCCTACTGCAACCCAGCAGAGTTAGTAAGATTGCCTACTGGTATATGAACTAGGCCAGGAAACTACCGGGCAGCACCTTCCCTGAAAAGAATATTCGCCACAGGTGGTGGAAGCCAAGCTGGGTTGCCGGCAGTCTGCCCATCCATATGTTGGAAAGCACTCTGAATTGCACTGCTCTGTCGCTTCACCTTTGACTTACCGATTCTCTTTCCAACAAAAAATCCCACCTTCATCACCGTTAATAGACCCAATGCAACTAGAAATGGCCTCACAGCCCAGTGAAAATCCTCAAGATGTTGATACTTCTTCACCAACCCTGGACAATTATTAAAAGAAACCACTTCCACTTCAGCTGGATCAGCCAAAAATTTGCCAAATTCCTCTCCAATAGTTAATCTGCCTGGGAACTTAACAACAAGGCATCCATTTGGCAGGATCCAGCAAATTTTCCCAGTAGCCCAAATGCCTCCTCTTTTACGAGGCCAATCAAAGCGAGGGCTAAGCACGTTAGATTTCAGCCTAACAAACTGACCAACGCAGTAAGATTCTGCCATCTGAAACTCTGAAGAATTTCCCTTCCAAAGAGTTTCCAACCCGATAAACCCAACAGCAATACTTCCATCACGGTCAATGGAATGAAGAATACCTACTGGGGAGTGCCTTTTGTCTTCCTCTTTCAAGCGTATCCAGTCCCCAGCTGCTAAGCCAAGAGTGACCCTCTCCAGTGTCGAAAAATGAACTCTTATAGGGTCATGAATGCCATGAACCCTCACCAAAGCAAAACCATCATGATCTGTGCTGCGTTCTAAACCCACCACGGTTCCTTCAGGAACATTCATATTTTCAGGTTTGCATGAGTTAGGTGGCTTTCTGGAACGCACAATGTCACCCACTTGCAAAGGATCCTTTGAAAGAAACCACTCTGTGTAGCCAGTAATGCTACTTAAATTGTCTGATACTGTTGTGCTCCCAAGACCTGTCCATTGCACATCATCTTCACCTCCAATCTCTGAGCTGAGAATGTGGTTGCTGGACAAAGGTATTAAGCAAGTAGGTTACCAGGGAATCAGTATAAGAACACTCAACATTGTCACTTAAAATTAGTTGCATGAGCAGCTTAAACAAATTTTCACGTGCACAATATTTTTAGCCGCATATTACATAATTGTTTAGCATTTCATACTTCAGAACAACGAGGCGGTGAGAAGATGGAATCTAAAGAGCAGGGGCCTTATTTCTATCTTAAGCTTCAGAACTGAATATATACATAGAAGGGGACCTACCTGTTAAACACCTCTAATATGTGTTTCATCAAAGGACGACTTCTGAAGTCATACTCAAAGCAGCCAATAAGAACTTTCTCAACCGGAGGAGGAAGGCCACTTGGAATAAGTGGTTTTTCCTGTTTTCTGACAACCAGATCATAAATTTCATCAGCTGATTTCCCACTCCAAGGAACAATGCCGGTGAGCATTTCCACAATGCTGCATGCAAATCCCCATGAATCAGTCTCAAATGATATTGGACCTCTTGTTTCCGGGTGCCACTGTTCTGGAGCCATGTAATTGGGCGTTCCAAGCCTGTGTGCCATATCTGAGCTGGGCAATCTAATTCCCAGGAGCAAATATGGAATGCCAATATCTCCTAGAACTGCTTGGTCAGTGCCATTAAGAAGAAAGTTAAAAGGTTTAAGGTTAAGAACCAAGATCCCTCTTGAGTGCAATTCTGAAATTCCCAGCGCCAAATTGATCCCATACCTGCAAATATCAGACGCACTAAACGTAAGAATTAACTCTCTTTGCTTCCTTATGATAAAGAAAAAGGCATAATCTTCCATCTATTCCAGACTACATCACCTCAAAACACAAGGAAGTGAGAGCTTTCCTCCCTTAAGGCGAGTCATTTTATCCCCAATTGATCCTTCATAAAATTTCATAATGATACATATCTGCAAGAAACACACAATGAATCAATTCTTAGTAAGATAACCAACTGTCATCTAGCTAACCAAAATCACCCACGTTAGCTGCAACACCCACCTTTCCATTTATAACAGAAGTTCCCTGTAGAGAACAAATATTATTCACACCTTGGCACTTAGAATATAAATCATCAAACTTATCCAACAAAGTCCTCATGTCATCCTGCTTAATTGGATGCAACATCTTGATGGCTACTTCATAAGACTGATCATAATCTGAAGTCGAACTATGATAAGTTCCTAACCAAACATCACCAAAGGGTCCCCTACCAATTCTATGCGTAAGTTTCACTTTTGACGGGTCAATCCATGGAAGTCTCTGACTCGAAGCCGCTACCACGGTTCTAAGTTTGTCATCATCACCTTCCAGAATCTCGTACTCAGAAAAACTAGCGGACAGAGCGCTGACAACTTTCCCAGCCATTCCTTCAACCCAACAACAACAAAAAGACAAAAAGGGCAACTTTACAAAATACCCATCGAAGGAAAACCATGCAAAAATTCTAGCTGATACTAAAACCATGAATTCTCTAAGCATCAGATTTGATCGTACAAAGTAACAAGTCTAATGGGTCTGGTTTCTGATAATCCATCATGGAGGATTCAATTGAGCTTTCTTTTTTTTGAAAAAAATCGCTAGTCAAAAATCTTCTTTGCAAGTCAGGTAAATGAAAATAGAAACAGTAAAAACAACCAGCAAATAAAAAAAATGATATTTAAACATGAATATTCTTATCAAACTCCCTTTTTTCCTTCTTGTTTTCTCTTTATACAAGGAATCTACACTGGAGACGAGAGGCTTTCTTTTCCTAAGAGAACCCAGAAAAAGAAGAAGAAGAAGAAGAAGAAGAAGATGATGATGATGATGATGAAAAACATGATACCCACCATATTTAGACAGTACAAGTTTTGTAGTAAACAACAACTTACCTTAATTAAGACCAAATTCGACCGGCTGAGCTACAAAGTGAGCAGTCGAATGAGGAGAGTCTTTGAGATATCGACGAATTAGAGATAGAAAAACAAGACCAACTGGAAAGAGGGTGAGGGTTTTAAAAGATATTTGAAGCTAAAAACTGACAAATAATTAGAAGGAAAAAGGAAAGGAAAGTGAAGAGTGTGGGACAGACAGAAACAGAGAAGTTAAAAAGAAGAGAAGTTGCAGAAGAAACTGTTACTTTGGAATCTAAAACGAGGGAGGTGTTACAACCTCCATGAGAGTGGGCCCACAATGGGCCCATTTACTATTCAGTCCAATCAAATATAAATTATTAGCATAATTAGATAAATAAATATTATTAATCGTTTTCATAATTAATATAAATAGTTTTTTATAATTTGGTTTTTTTAAATAAAAAGAAATAAAAACTAATGCTAAACCTTTCATTTTTAAATCAAATTGTATTTTTCATTCTTTTTTATTTAATTTTCAAATTTATGTTTGCATTGACCTTAATAAGTTAAAAAAAAAAATCCCCGACTTTATATTCTACAAATTAAATTATTTCCGACTTTGCTTTCATTTTTCAGATTTTTTTCCTATAAAAAGATTATTTCTAATGATTCCTTTTTGAAGAATCTCTGAATTTGAAATATGATCATAACGAGATTAGTGATGGTAGAATCAAATAGATTGATGGAATCAAAGCAAAATTAAAAGGGATTGATTTGTTCACGTAAATTTAGCCAAATTCATTGTTATGAGTTTGTAAAATTGTACAAACATAATCACCAAGTGGCTTTGAGTATGATGATGTAAATGGTCCTTGCATGTTCCACTTAGTTATAAGTCAATGCCAAAAGGCCAAATGGATCATTGGGTTTTTCATTTTTTATTTCTTTTATTAAATATTTCATTTATATATTTATTAATTTGGGCTTCTCTTTTTTTATCTTCATCTGGGGCTTAAGACTGGTGTTGAGTCAGAAGACAGGACAGCTTGTCAGTGGAAACGTCTGGGGTTGAGATCCTTGTAAAGACAAGCCAATTTCGCATGCTCCATTCACAGCAATGTTAATTAACAACAATTGGCCTTTGCTTGAACACAAAGCCTTGGAGTTTGTCGAAATACCAGCCGAACCTGCATTTTGTTTTTGAGGATATTAGCTTGTCGTGGTTTAGGGTGAGAATTAGACACCAGGTACTGGTATTAAAGCATTTTTGCCCTTCATTTCCATTGAACTTCCAGAGGTAGCAGCAGAGAAGAGTATTTAGTCCTGAAAACTGCTCTATTCTGCCAGGTTCATTGCCTGATTTTCGATTTTCATCTAGGCATCATTGGTATCATTGATATCATTCTTAATTCCACATAAGAAGTTTGTGAAGATGATGTTACCTTCTATGAACAGAATCTTGAGATTCTTCGAGTCAAAATAGATAATTCCTCGTGAAATAGATAGACAATCCGCATCAGAGCACTCATCGCTCAAAAAAAAATAAAAAGGAAAAATGAGAGCTGAGTGCTGTAAGGGGGCAAAATACTATATGGTGTGCACGTAGCGAGAGCCACCTCTTGAACCTGTGAGAGTCACTTTCTAAGAATTCTAACGCCTAGCGTGTGACCTTGGTTCTGTGTTCAAGGAAGATTGTAGTGTCCTCCATTGGGAATTTGTCAAGATTCACTATAATCTATATGTTCAAACTTAAGCCAGCCCTCTTTTTTTTCTTCCAATTCACTCTATTTTCCCTCCTTCCTACCTTAGTGTTAAAGCCTCAAAAAGCTGTCTTTGGTCACTTAATGTGGAAGGGCATTAGCTGATGGATGATCAACAGATGAATATAAACCACCAGATCAAAAGATTCTCACTGGAAAAACAGTTACAATATCAGAACGGTAAGCAAGGGTCTTGACATAGCCCCATCTCAGTTTTTTAAGTTTGTTTGGGACTTGAGAAACTTAACCGGTGCTTTTCCTCCCACCTACTATGGCAGAGAAATTATCGTATAAAAGAATGCAAAAATGTAAAGAAACAAGAAGAACAGGATGGGGTTCAATAAGTACAATTCAATCTTATAATTAGATACATCGATGGTTGATGTAGCTCAAAATTATATAGACATTTTTCAACTCAAAATTAAAACCAAATGGACAATGGGAATAAAGCAGATGATTTAGAGAGGAAGCACCTTCTTGACAATCTCCTGACTGAGAGCAGAAATCTGGGAATCAAGTGACTTGATGGTCCCTTCCTTTTGTTTCTCCAAATTAGCCAAAGCTTCCTGTAACTCAGCCTCGACTTTCTTCCTTCCTTCAGCCAGTTTCTCCTCAAGTTCCAACTGGGTCTCTTTCTTCATCTTGTTCAAAGCAGCTGAGATTTCAGCTCTAGCAGCTCTCATGATAGCTGTAGCCTGCTCTTCAAGCCCCTTCACTTCCTCAGAGGTATCCTTCACGCTGGCAAGTTTCTCTTTTATGGCAGCATCTCTCTCATCCATGAATTTCCCAAGTGGGGTAAAGTAGATCTTGTCAAGAGCAAACATGAGGAGCAAGAACTGAACCATCATAATCGGAAGAGTTAAATTGAAGTCAAAAAGAGCAGCCTTCTCCATTTCCTCCGCAAGAGAAGGTGGGGCAAAGGATAAAGAGGTGGCGGTCAAGAGGGAGATGGACTTGAGAGTAGAGGAAGAAAAGGAGAGGATTTGTTGGGATTTCAAGAATTTTGGGGTGGGGATTTTTGGGAGGAAAAGTTGTTGGATTTGTTGGAGTTTGGGTTTGGATGGAAGGGAGGAGGATGTAACTGGGACTATAGATTTTGAGGAGGCCATGATCATGCTGGCCATGGCTTTTGGTGTGGTTGTTTCTGGCTTGGTAAAACTAGGGAGGTGATGATGAGTATTTGATTGGAGAAATGTGGGATGGTGTGTTACAAATTGAAAGATGGGATCTTTTGTGTGGAGATTGGGCGTGAAATTTTTGCACAAGGCTATCCCATTCTTCGCCACACAAATTGATGAGGCTGCGGTGGACTCTACAGGGGAAACCAGGGTGACAATCAGTTTGAGTTTCACTTTCACACGTGCAAGGGAATGTGGGCAAATGGGCTTTGCGTTGGGGTCTAGCTGAGAGTTCAAATTGGGCTTACTCAAGCCTTTTTATCTGTTTATCAGATGATGCAAAACTTGGTATGCACAAAGGATTGAGACAAACTGATAAAATACAAAAATTCAGCCTCAAGAATGATCCATTTTAATGGTTCATGCTGGTGTAAGAACAGAAACTAGTACTATTTGTATTCAAAATTGTTACAAGATGTGACAGCATGTTGAGAGTATCAGTCGAAGAACAGAAACACAGCCTTAATGCTAATCCAAACCAATCCAACAGTGACAATGATACACATTTAGTCTTCCTTGCATGTACGCTTTCGATAATAGTTTGTACTGCCCCAAAGCCGTAAGATTTTCCTAATATTACCCAAGAAACTAGAACCATATCTTGACTGGCAAATCATGCCTTTGCTAGATCCTGTTTTTCTAATGGTTGACATCCTTGAATATGAGGACCAACCTCTCCATAAGTGACCGAACTGGCATTCTTGCTCCACAACGATACTCGGACTTTCATCTTTGTGAGTCTGGTACCTTCCATTCTCCATATCATCATACTCATCATCTTCTTCATCATTCTGTTCACTCCCTAAGGAGCTGGCTGAGCTTGATATTGACCTGCATATGTTGAATTGGCTCGTCATTAGAGCACAATAGTTGCAAGATGAATTTTAAAGGTTTAACCACTTGAGTCTGCAAAGGAGGATATCCTTAAGCCTCTAATGGTTTCAAGGCTTAACCATATAGGTATAATATAACCTACAGGAGGTTGCAAACCTCCCTGTTTATGGATTGCTGTCTCATGACTTCTGCAATTCTAAGTCCCTAGTACAGAAAGCAATGCTCTCATTGGAATTCAAGTTTGTAAATAGACCATTGAGTCCACAAATGCTAACTAATTGGAGGTTTAAATGGGGCACTAATGCTTTACAAATAAGAAAACAGGAAACATTGTCATTACAGTGGAATAAGATCATTCAGCCCAAGTCAGTTTTGCTTGTGCTTGTATAAGCAGGTGCAGCAGATTTTATTTTGTTAACTGTGGATACTGATAATATGCTTGTAAAAGGTATTCATAAAGGAAGAATAGTCGATGTTAAAGGCCTTACAGATACGATTGTTTTCGAGCAACAATCCTTCTCTTTGATTGAATCTTTGTCATGTTAAAGATGGGAGAGATATGCCTAATAAAACGAAGCTGAAGAGAATAAACAAAAAGAAAAAGTCATCATGGGAATTAAAATGTTATGTCAAATTATGTGCTAAGAGCAGAGGAAACATTGCTACAAACCTGATCACCATCCGTGATGCCGTAGTTTATGATAATGTCAGTGTCTGTGACCAATTTCCAACCTCCATAACACAAGCAAAAATGTCCCCAAACATGCGGCCTCCATCAAGAAGAATGCAGATTGAAAAGAATCATATCACAAAAACGCAATTCAATGTCAAGAACACATCAATACAAACGAATAAATTTTTATGAATCCATCCGTTTCTCCCGTGCAGGATGAGCACCAATTCATACAGTGTGGGCATAGAAATGAAACATACCACGAAATCTTTCCTGGACCTTTTGTTGGCATATGGCTAAACACATCCTGGACCGCCAGCTTGAGCTCTGCAATTGTGGCCGATTTTATAACTTCAACGTCTGCAAAACATTGAAATCAATTTCCATCAAAAGAACCCCAATTTCTATGGAACAACAAGGAAAAGAAAAGAGGGGAGAAACGCACGTACCAAAGGAAGAGCCATCCAATTTGAGAACGGAGAGCTTGATGGGTTCCTCTGGAAGCTTAGAATAAGAGAAGCTTTTACGAGAGAAGCCATTGACCATCACCAGGGAAGGCAATGACGATGAGATAGACCTCCTTGGCTTCTCCAGAGAAGCCCTTGGGGTAGAGAATTCCTCCACTTCGATTCTCAACATGCTGTCAGGGAAAAAACCCAAGCCCAAAAAAAAAAAAAGGAAAAAAGAAAAGACACGAAAAACGACCAGAAGAACTCGCCGCTTTTGTGTCGGGTACAAAAACCAGCTACCGAAGGCTCAGCCCATTTTAGAGCGAGAAGTTCTATAAGAAAGAAGAAACTTTGATTCTTTGGAGAAAGCGACACGCATCTTCGAGAAACGTTAAACGTTAGGAGCTTGATTATGTCGGGGGAAATTCTCTATCAGAGAGATATTAGAGAAAAGAAATGAGGTTACTTCCTTATTTTTGGCTTTCTTTGGGACGTGTTTGACGGTTAGGAAAGAGATGACAGTTTGGGAAATCTTAACGGTTTAGGCTGTCGGTTGTTAGGCGCGCCCTTTTTTTCTTGACTTTAGCTTGGCAAATGATTTTCTGACCGTTAGCCGTTGGTTGATGAGAAAATTAGATTAACAAGAGAAACTTGAAACCAACCTAACCCAAATAAAAATTCAATTACACTTTTATCTTTATATATTTTTTAAAAAATTATTTTCTCTTTTTCACGTTGTCTCTATTGAATTATTAAACAAAAGACAATCTGTAAAATTTAATGTAAATGTCATGAAATTGCACATTTTAGGATTTTGAATTTATAAATGTCAATGTTATGCATTAAAAAGACAATAATGGACTTGTATCTAGCATTATATATCTTAACAAGTTAACTTTTCGAAAAAAAATTTTGAAAATCTCACATTTTCAAATTCTAAATTTATAAATTGGAGAGAAAGTAACAAGCATTACATACCCGAACAAGTTAACTTATAGAAAATAAAGAAATGGTATTGTGGCATTTGCTTATGTATAAAATTAGGAAGATGAGTTGAAACCTAAAAACACGCCTAAGGTTGACCTTCCTGTAAAAGGCAACTGTTTGTTCTGTAATAAGGAGATTGACTCACGGGATACAGAACCAAAGGAAGGAGGAAGAGGACTGGGATTCAGAATTCAGACTTGACCCTTGCAGCACAGAAGGAACAAAAGATTTTACACCTCCCTTGCACCTGTCAAGGTGGAAACCACCGGAAAAGGGGATGGTTTGAATTAAACTCTGATGGGGTCAACTCTAGGCAACCCAGGCGTAGTACAGAGTGGTATTGTCATTTGAGATTCTAAGGGGAACTGGGAAGGTGGAGTTTCCAGATATCAAACCATTTCAGTTTAATACATTTCCATTCGTGTTCGGACCAAAAAAAATAGACAGTACTTGTTTCTTAACCTGACCAGTCATTTCCCTACAAGCTTGTAGTAGGCATACAAACCAGAACCAACAAACCCCAGCAATTGCCCAATAACATTCAGCTGCAACAAAAACAAATTGAGTCCCATCATATAAGTGCAACTGGAAAGGAAAGTTACAATTTATGTGCTATGTTAACTAGCAGCGAGACCAAGATAAGAGTATGCACTTACAATATCAAAGGGAAGCCCACCAAAAAGTATCCAGCCAAGTCCAATGGTAAAAAGATCCTACAACAGCACATAAACTAGCAAATCAGAGAACAAATTTGGAAAATACGTACTTGTATGAGCTTCATGACAGTAAACATAGCAAAGACTTGTATGTGCTTCATGACAGTAAACATAACAAAGAGACATCTATTGCTAATTGAATGGCATACCCTGCAACTGGCATCTATAAATGCAAAGTCAGAAACTCAAAAACTAACAAATAATTCTTCTAAAAGTGTTTAGCATTATGGAGCTTCATTCTGATGATTCCTCAATTAAACAGGATTAGCCACTGTAAGAAAGAAATCACAGTTCATTGTTTTTCCATGGCTGCCATATTGTCTGAGAACAATGCATGAATCAGGATTTAAGATATATTTAAACAAACCTTCAGATTGCCACAAATGGTTTGCGTGACTGCTGAATTGAGAGTTGTGTTCAAGAATATAGTGTAATTCAAGAAGAAAGCTAGAGTACAGGAAAGAATCAACACAGCCTGTCCAAAAAGGAGGGGTAAACACAACACATTGTTAAAACCTGCTTGAGTAATTTGCCGTAAAACTCAAAAAGCATTGCAACAAGAGAAGAACTGTAGAGTGTTTAAGTTTTCTAAACTTCGACAGAATTAAACCAGCCACATATAGAAGTGATGTCTATAATCCCTCAAAATTATTGAAAACAGTTAAAATGTAATTCATTGTGGACAATTGATTAAAAGCTTTAACTGCCAGTTATAGAAAGAGTTTAAGTGCACTAAGATGTTCCGAAACAGTCCTTTTACCTTACGCAATTCCCACAGAGAGAAAGAAGACTAGGGAACAAAGAAACAATTCTCAATCATAAAAATCTATATCAACACTGATACACGAATTTGCTTGAAAGAGCAGAACATACCAAAAAACCAGGTGACAAGAGGTGAGGAAAATTCATTGTGGTCTTCAAGTCACCATGAAGAAATGTCCACAACAACAAAACTGGCCCACAGATTATACCTATTGTACAAATTCAGTTAATCTTAAGTATAGCTAGGACCAAAAATTATGTTACTATAGAAGAAAAGGATATGCAATTCAAGTTGGAGCCATTAATTACCATTACACCACATAAGCCCAAAGCTATTAAGTCCACTAGATTTCCCTGACAAAAGAGGAAATATATGTAACTACACAACAAATATGCCAAAATATTGAAGAGGAAATGTGGTTAAAAGGAAAAAGTAAAAGAAAGAAAAAGGTGAGAGTGCTACCAATGCGGGCTATGGTTGCAAGATATATTGCTGTGGTGATGTTGGCTAAGAAAACAACAGCGTACCCATAGAAGTCAAATGAGAAGTCCCGAGCTCCCGCAACAAATGCACCAAGAACAATCAACCCAACACTGATAACATCCTTAAAATTTTTCAGTTAAATGAAGAAATCAGAAACATGGCTATTCAAGTAAAAATTCTCTCAACATTTCCCATTGACAAACATTATGCATCTAATCTAAGGTTTTAAAAACCACCAGCTCAAATTCCCACAATTGAACACTTATATAGCTAGAAGATGATCAAGTCACAGCAGAAGGAAGATTGGATCCTGCCATAACAACAATCTTAAACCAGAGACAGAAAGGGGGGCATAAATCATCAGATTAGCATAAAAAAGATGTCTGAACACATTATCTGTAAGATAAAGCACACAATACCTATTTACTTGTTCCAATATTTTTCTTCAATATGATTCAATTTTTACAAATCTTTACTGCTGTTCGCTTATATCTACCATGTGCATCAAAGAAAAGGGGAACTGGATAAACTGAGCTTAGAGTTGGCTCCCACCTCTGATGGAAACACACCAAAGCTATCATAAGCCTTTCCATTGATCACCTTCAAATTTTGTATTAGCACTTATTTCATTACAGGAAAATAACCAAACAAAACTTATGCTTCCAAAATCATGTAGCAGCATGCTTCTGGCAATCCAATCAAGCATAATGTAAGAAGCTTTTACAAATAAATTTCAAGAAACTTTAGCTAGAGGCATAACTAACCAGCTTCCCCCAATTTTCAACAAATCACGTGTCCTATGACAAGCAACAGCGTGAAAGTAATCAAAGCACCAGTTACCTTCCAATTATAGATGATGTATACTTCTGTCCTGCCAGAAGAAACTCCACAAGCATTGTAAATACGACAGTAATTCGCCTCAGGGTCGTGTACATGGGAACATTTACTCCTCGAACAGACTCCACTGAGACTAGCTTTCAAGGAGAAAGAGAAAAAAACCGATTTTTTCATTAGCCAAAACCCAGGACACAATAAGTAAACAATTATCGATAAAAAGAAGTATATAGTACCATGTAAAGCAAATAGGCTCCTGCAAGAGGAAGGGTGTAAATCAATGTCTTCAAGGGCACCAAACTCGTCTTGCTATCAGAAATGGTCAAAGATTCATTGTTAGTGAAAGATATAATCCTCCACCGTCTCAGCACATAGAGGAAAGAACACGAACTTATCATCTGCCAAAGAAAGAATACAAGAAATTTATCAAACAATTAAGATACATTGAAAATGAATCATAATGCAAGTTATTGAGTCAATTTCAGGTAACAAAAAATTCTCTATCTTTACCTGAAAGAGTGTAATTACATTCGCACAAGGGAAACTATAAGAAGATAAAGCTGCTTTATTGAAGAGTATCAAAAGCACTGCAAAAGAATACCAATTTTTCCATTAAAAAACAACGACCTGAACCTCAAATTAGCACCAAATTGAACAGCTACATTACATAAACAAACAAGAATCGAAAATTGAAGAAGAAAAAGGAAAGGAAAGGAAAGGGAACGTACCAGCGCAAGACATGTAAGAGACGGCAGCGTAGGCTCCTCTTTTCGACATGGCGGATCCTTTAAAGAGCATTTCGTCTCCTCTTTTCAGAAGCCTCTCTTTCTCTTCTTGCTCGTCTATCGGAGGATCCGATATCGGAAGAACCGGGTTCTTGAAAGTATTCGTCACCATCATAGACATTTCTTTTCTCTCTCTCTCTCCCTGTGCTCTGTTTCTGGCTTTTTTGTTTGTTTTGGGGAGACGACTTCGACGATAGTCGTTGGGAAGGGAAGCTTCCAAGCACGGCAACGATAAAAAACGAAGACTGAGTTACAGAGTGAGAACTCAGAATGAGGGCCGCAGCCGAGGAATTACCAACTAGGCCCAAGTTCTTTGGGCTCAGTCCAAACCATTTCCCGAATTTTTTGCTGACTTTAGTACATTTGAATTGGACCGGATGAAAATCCTAATAATCAAATTTTTTAATGATAAGTATATTTAGGTATAATATCCGTTAATTTTGAAGTATTTCGATTCAAATTCGATTAAAATTTAATTATAAATATTTTATAAAAATTCAATTAAAAATTAATACTAATAAAAAACTTAATTCTTAATTCAAATATTTAAAAACATATTTAGAATAAGTAGTAAAATTTAATAAATATTATATTAATTATAGGTAATTTATAAAAAAATATAAGATTGAAATTAATATTAAAAATTATTATTTATAATAAAATTCGAGTACGGAGTACCTATAAGAATTAGCCCGAACCCTATTTTTAGTATTTAAATTTTATTTGAATTAAATTATAAAATACCTTAATTTTATTTAATTGAATAAAAAATATAAAATATTTAATTACAAAGTATATAATTTTTGAGAAAAAAGGGATTAGCTTTTAATTCCTTGGCTCCAACCTTTGTAGGGAGGCCATTTAGTGAAAAAGTCAAAAAAAGAGGGCAAAAGGGCGAGGAGAAATAATTTTCAGGATTGCTACCAATGAAATGATGTCATTCAAGTAAACACTCATTCCATTAGGTGACTACCGCCCAAGGCAAGTTTCTTCCTCAGCTTCTCTTTCGTCCTTTTGATTTTAAACAGCTTTTCATTCTAGAAATAAAGGGTGTAAAACCATGTGGCTATCATGGACATTTTGCATTTGAATTCGTAACCCAGATTTTCTCATAGCTGAAGAGGAAACTGAGGGGCTCAAGGTCAAGAGTTCTTTCAGACTTTGAGGTGTTGCAATGGGTGCAGTTATCGGATAACTAAAGAAGAGGGATGTGTTAACAGAGATGGATGGAGATTAGGATTGGGTTTTGATTTGGTTGCGTGTGAATCAATGATCATGAATCATGATTATGGAATATGACTTTGTAGGGTGGAGTGTGATTAGAGGCAAAATAAAAACAAGATTAACACCAGAATTATTGTAACACAGACAAAGCAAGGATGAACCAAATGATACGCCAAAAGCCAAAAATGGGAATGATTGTTGTTTGTGCTTGGTACTCCAACACCCTCCCAGGACATTGACATCTTTGCGGCTGGTTGCTGGAAAATCAAACACACGAATGATGAAGAACAATGAAAGAATTGAATCTCCATCATGGAAATTGGATTTTACTTGGTAATATCTTTTTGAATCTTGACTTGGAATTAAACACGGCTAAGAAAGAAAGGAAGAAAAATGCTTAATGAAAAAGAATGGAGGGCGGGGCCTGATTCACATGGTACATAGGATGCTGCAATATGGTCACAATTACAATTGAATGAAGCCCAGCGGCAAGGAAAACAGTCCCCATGGCTTAGGGAGCAGTTCTATAAGCCTTAAAGATAAGGTGAGCCCACCCTTCCCCCACGTGTACCTTCGGCAAACAGTTGAATTATGAACAAGACTTTAAATTACAACAAAGTACTCTGAATTTTGTGTAGTGTAGTCACAATCTGTTCAAGAGTTTCTTATCATCTCTGCCAGGGACTTCTCCTCTCTAAATTAGCTGTTACTGCTTTGGAGGATGCTTTGATCCCTGGAAGGGGGACCTCTCTGGGAAATGGGAAAACACGAATGAATGCTTTAGGGGGTACAAAAGCAAACCCACTTGCTTTTCCCAGCGTGTGGGACCTTGCACCTCGCTGAAGATTGGGGAGTGATTCATTAAGGTAATTGTAACACGTTTGACTGTGAAGCTTTGTTTTTAAAAA